ATGGGGCCAGGCAAGAACCAGGAGCTTTATCCAGGTCTCCCACGTGAGTGCAGATGCCCAAGCACTTGGGCCATCCTTCAGTGCTTTCCTGGACACATTAGCAGGGAGCTGGATCGTAGAAGTGGAAGTAGGTGGAGCAGCCAGCACTCAAACCAGCCCCTCTACTGGACGGACACCTGCATCACAGGCAGGGGCTTAGCCTGCATATCACAACTCTGACAACACAGAATGGTGTTTCTTAGTTATGTGGATTCATATTTCCACCAGTGGGAAGTCCCCACACATTGTTACAGTCAGGACAGCAGCAGAAAGCTGACGCTGGTGGTAATGTATGAGGGAGGAGTCCAGCTTTGTGAATGTTTAGGTCTGCCACGGAAACCATACAAGTATCTGAAATACTCAACCGTTGTTATCCTGGGAGGAGAATCGCAGGGACACTTATCTTCTGCATTATGGATTTATATACAACTGGAAATTTTTGAGAGATAAGCAGAAAGAGACTTCCTATCCACTGGTCATTCCACCAAATGCCCCCAGTGACCTGGTCTGTACCTTGTTAAATCCAGGAGCCAGAAACCAATCCAGTCCTCTCACGTGGAAGGCAGGAACCCTGTTATCTGAGCCACTGCTACTGCCTCCCCTGGGTCTGCATTGGCAGGAAGCTGGAGCCAGGGATCCAAGCACCTAACCTGGAATTCCCAGTACAACTGTTACTTTTGTAACTTACACGTCTTGAAAACAAGGATCACTCACTAATATGTAAGATATGCTAGTGTCTCCAATCCTTATAATGCCACGTGGTAGCAGGTGACAGCCAGGGGCACACCCCATCACACCTCTCAGTCCCACCTCCTGACACAGACTGAATAGTTCTGATCAGATACGGGCTGAGGCTAGGCTCTCCCTCAGCTATTTTTCCTAGTGCGCAACTAGTGCTGCAGCTCACCCAGCCTCTACGAGGGTCTAGCTGTGTGCATGTGTGCAATAAACAGACCTGACGCTGATCCTCCAAGAGTGTGTCTCGTGATGTACCCACGGGGTGCTGCCTCCATGACCTAAGATGCAGTGGAAGCAGGTGTGGAGTCTCCTGATCCAGAAGGTCCCAACAGGTGCAGCCCCGATGGCATCCCGCGTGGGGCTCAGAAAGTCTTTACTTTTTGCACTGGAAGTCCATGGCCATGGTTGGGTGGTTCAGAGGCTTTGGGAGGTGTGAGGGGCAGTTCCTAAAGCCTCCACTGGGACTGGTCTGAGGGCACTGATGTGGATGCCACTTGGGTTACACTCGGCAGACTCAGGATCCCCTTGTGGGAAGAGGTCCTGTTCAAATGCACTGAATCTGAAATGACTGCCTGTATGTTAAGTGCAATTGTAAATAAGGCACGTGCTCCCTCTGGAACTCAGGAGGCCTAAAAGGTGTTAGGTGGCTTATGGTAGCAGCACTGTTGTTGAAGGGTCTGGGCATTGGCAGGGTTAGAGCTTCTCTGAACCTCGGATAAAGCTCAAGAATTTACAGCAGAGGCGGGTCCTCATCCTGGGGTGGGAAGGGAGGTAGCATTGCTCCTTCCTCCTTAGTCAGCTCCAAGTAAGTAGTTGGATGTCTTGAATGAGTGAGGCAGTTGCACCTTCTCAGGGAAAGGTGCCAAGCATGTGGTGTCCTGCTTGTGCTTCTGGAGGAAGCCAGCTGCAGGGTAGCAGCCGCCTGCCAGGATCTGCTGTGATGGCAGAGCTGTTTTGAGGTACCCTAAGGCTGCCAGATAAAGGCATAGCATGTCCCTTGGGCAGCTGAGATGCTGCTGACACAGGCACTGAACAGGTCATATCAGTCCTGTCCCTGCCTGCTGGGTAGTTACTGATTGCCAAGTGGAAAGATTAATAAGTTCAATAATATCAGGTGTGGGCTTCTTAATGACTAGCGTCAAATCACTTAGGGTGTGGTGATCTACCATGAAATGCCTTTTGTTCTTTCCAAGTTTAAGAAGAGTCTAAATTGGGCCCGGCAGTGTGGCCTAGCGGCTAAAGTCCTCGCCTTGAACGCGCCGAGATCCCATATGGGCACCAGTTCTAATCCCGGAAAGAGGCTCCTGGCTCCCGGCTTCAGATCGGCACAGCACCAGCCATTGTGGTCACTTGGGGAGTGAATCATGGGACAGAAGATCTTCCTCTCTCTCTCCTCCTCTCTGTATATCTGACTTTGTAATAATAATAAATAAATCTAAAAAAAAAAAAAAGAGTCTAAATTGAGCCGGGTAAATTCTGCAGGCTCATCCTCTGCCTACAGTGCCAGCATCCCACCAGATGCTGGTTTCAGTTTCAGCTATTCCACTTCCCATCCAATTCATTGCTTATGGCCTGGAAAAGCTTGGGGCAACGTGTGTAACACACAAAAGTTCAAAACAATTTGGATGCCCAGGTAACTCAGCTAGCTGTCTCTTCCTGATAAGAAAGGGTGAAGCCAACCCCATACCTGAGGCCAAGTCCAGGTGTGTGGGTCTCCTGGGAGAGTCAGCTCTGGTTGCCCTGTATCCTTGTCTATTCCTAGTGCTGTCTTCCTTTCATTTATGTCATGGATTTAGTGAAAATCTCTGCATCAGGATCCAGGAGGTTTGACATATTTTGTCAGGTTCCATTAATTCACTGATCCTACTTGGAACAAGAAGTCGGGGTAGTTTGCTTTCCCCTGGTGGGCACAAGGATGGGCTTCTCCTGCCCTGGTTTGGAAGGACACACCCTGTGCTACTGCCTTGTCTTTTTTGCCACCTGCCCCTCTGCTCCTGGCTTGTCCAGGTGTTTTTTTCTTTGACCCCACCCCCTTGTCCTGCTTGAGCCTCCCCAAGAGAAACCTGGAGACAATCCTAGCTAAACTCTTACTGTCCCAGAAATGGGGGGCAAGTTGGAAGGATGAGAAAAGGAAAGAGGAGGTGCCCTTGACTTTAAATAAGATTTGTGGTTATGTGCACAAGCCACATCACCTTGTACCCTTCCTTAACCAGCCTACTCTCAACCAAGCTTCCTTGAAGGGCTCACCGTGGCTAGATAGTGGGAAAGTTACCCACACAGTCTAAAAGTAGTGCTGTTAGTCCCTAAGTGGTCTGTAACAATGACTTTTTCATTAAAGAGAAAACAATGACAAATATGATTGTACTTCAAAATATCTGTAGGAAAGGGAAGCTGAGATATGACTGTCTAGCCTGGAAATTAAGAAATCAGTTTTGGTTCCAGCATTAAATAACTATTACTAGAATTGCTAAAATTAAAATCTGACGGTACTAAGAGTAGGCAAGAATACCACACAAGTGGTAATCTCATGATTGGCTGGTGATAATGCAATATGGAATGGTATTTTGTTTGTTTCACTTTTAAGAGTTATTGGTTCGTTTATTTGGAAGTCAAAATTACATGGAACATGTTAGGGCAATGTGTGAGACAGAGACAGGAAGTAAGAGAGAACTTCCAACTGCTGGTTCATTCCCAAGATGGCTGCACCAGCCAGGGCTGAGCCAGTCCAAAGCCAGTTGCCAGGTCTACCACATGGGTGGCAGGGATCCAAACACTTGGGCCATCTTTTGCTACTGTTGCAGGACATTAGCAGGGAGCCAGGTGGGAAGTGAAACAAGAAGGACAAGAACTGGAGCCCATATGGGATGCCAGTGGCTTTGCAGATGGCTGCTTTACCCTTTACTCCACAACTCTGGCTTAAAAAAAAAAAAAAAAAACTAGACTTAAATTTAGGCTTTTCATTGGACCTGGCAACCCTTCCCTCTAACCTGAAAGCAGTTTCATATAAATATCTATACACTGATGGCTATAGAGGCTTCATGTGTAATAGCCAAAGACTGAAAATAGTCCAATTCTTCATCAAGTGAATGATAAACACAGTGCATCCATACAGTGAATACCACTCAGCAACAGAGAGCAACAAACACCTACAACGAGCCGCAAGAGAACCACCCATAGAGCCTTCAGCCAGCTGGAAAAAGCCAGACTCAAAAGGCTGCTCATGTAGGGATTCCATTCATGCGATCAAGTACTGTGACCACATAGGGAAGCAGAACTACAGAGACCAAATTACAGGTCTAGAGGATGATCTGGGACTGGGGTGGAGGAGAGACTGTTTGCCAAGGTCTGCCTCAGGGAGCTTTCTGTTCTTTGTCTTGACTGCATTGCTGCCATGTGACTATGTATTTGTCAAAACTCAACAAACCTAACACTTTCAAAAGGGAGAATTAGACCTCAGTAGCGCTGACATTATCGGTACATGATCAAACCATCATACCCCTAATTCCTCTACAAATAACAATGTGGATTTTGGCTCAACCCCATGCTCCCACCCTAAGCTGGTCCCCTAAAGTGATCACTCTTGTTATTTATGTTCTCCAAGGTAACAAGTGTAGTTTCTGGACTGTCTTTGCAAGCATCCATGACAGGAGCTCTATGAGTTGGAGGTGACAACGGAGCAGCCTGGGCCCCTCTGAGCCAGCCTAGGGCACTGACTTGAAAGCAATTGCTCCCTTCTTTCCTTGTCTCCAAGACTAACATTTCCTTGCCAGCATAGGAGAGGATTATAAGAGAGGACACACTCCATCCCAGTGTAGGGCATTGTTCCCATTGGATGGATTTTCTGCAAGGGGCACATGTGGCTGCCATCCTTGGAAGGGTTGGCTTGGGTCCTCTGAGACAACCCAGACTCCTGGATGAAATCCTGGTTGCTGAAATTGCCTGGAGTGCTGCTTCCTGTTTCTAGAACCAAATTCTGACCAACTCATCTGTAGCCAGATGCCTTGTCCGTGTCTGTGAAAGCTCATGTCCCACTCCTGCCCCAGCCTGCCTGGGTTTACAGTGTTGGAGATTCCTCTGTTTAAGACATTTTGGTATTCTTCTGGTGGATGCCACGGTCTCTCAGAGCTGACAACATCATGCAGTGTAAGTTCGCTGGGCTCCTGAGCACTCACTCTGGGTCTGCGAGCCATCCCACAAGGCAGAAACTCTGTGATCAGAATACATGCGATTGTCTCACTTTACACTTTATTTGGTTGAAGGGAAAATTGTGCCTGACATAATTTTGCTTTCCAGTACACAAACCCTCTTAATATTAGATCTCAACTGTTAGATGGGGACATAACTTCCCCATTAGAATTCATTTCTAACCAGCCATGTGACTGAATTTCAGTGTTGGACCTGTGTTAGGTCAAGCCAAAGACAGAGTCCATAAGGACTAAAATTAGTGACTAAACTGGCCTTCTGCTTGTCACATGACTGCAGCCCAGCTGGAAGCATAGCTGGCGATGCCACCTGCTTTGCAGTTCTCCATCCTGGAGCCCGTAGACCAGAGGGTTAAAACATTGGGCAAATGCAAAGACACCAAAAAGCACTAAATTCAAAGCAAAGAAGAAAAGCCCACACTTCTTTCCCAATCCTATGAAAAGAAGTGTGGGGATAATATGCAAACTTATCTGTATAAGGTGAGTAAGGACCCTTCTCCTGGCCTTGACGTTGGCCCTGTTGAAATGGCCAGCCCTTTTCCCTTCTTGATATATCAGTGAGTAACTGATCAGAATGACAGACAAAAGAAGGAAGAGGAAAATCATGCCAATGGCTCGGGCAGGGGTGCCGTTCAAGATGACAGGGCAGAAGGGTTCGGACTTGAACACGGCGCCTGCTGTGGAACTAGCACCCTCTATGAAAAACAAACAGACATTCTTGAAGACAATGATGGCCCATGCCCCAGTCAGAACCCTATACTTCACTGACTCCACAAAGGACAGAGTGGTCAGTGGCCAGCAGATGGCCAGGTAAGCATTGAGAGCCATCAAAGCCAAGGTGAAGAGAATCCCTTCTCCGACACTTAGCTGTGCCCCAAACACCACCCAGCATATGAGCAGGGGGCTATGGGCCAGCAGGGCCCGCATGCCCTGGAAAACAACCCCCAGGCCACAGTAGGAGGAGATGCACAGGAGGTGATGGCAAAGGAGGAGGTAGCGAACTTGTTTCCTCAGCTCCGAACTCTGCCGCACGATCGCCACGACGATGATGGTGATGGACATGGCAAAGGAGAAGGTGACCACATAGATAGAGGTCTTCACCGCTGCTTCTAGCCTCAACCAGTCAGATATGTTGCAGAGCTCAGCGGACAAGTTCATGGTCGTCAGGAGTGGGGTGGCTCCTGGAAGGGAGGAGAGCAGGAAGAGTTCAGTGTGTGGAAGCTTTCTCTTGTGGTCTTCCAGCTCTCTGACCTTGGGTTGTTTCCAGGAATGGAAGGCACCTCCTTTGCTAGGGAGGATGAAACCAGAGAGGTTTCCTCTTCTCTTCATTTCACGGCAGGGGCTTAGAGAACCCTCACGGGAGGACAGCGGCTAAATGCACTCCGAATTCTAAGCAAATGGCTCAGACCAGGCCACGGCCAAGCTGTCCATACAACCTTCTACACCTTGCATTGTGGTGACTTTTACTGTTCAGAGCACCAAGCAGAGCACTATGAAAGTCAACTGACACGTACAAGGAGGCCTGGGTTCAAGTCCAGACTCCTCTCTCGATTCCAGCCTCCTGCCCACATGTCTCTCCAGAGGAGCTGGAGATGACTCCGGCAGTGAAGTTCCCACAACTCCATGTGGGAAACCTGAATTCATCTCCAGCCTCGTGGACTCAGCCTGGTCCAGTCCTGGCCATGGGGGTATACCAGGGGAAGCAGAAGACAGATCTCTCTCTGTGTCACTCTCCCCATCTCAAATAAGGTACACAATAAGTAAAATTACATTAACTGACCTCCACACACCTGCAAATACATCTACTCAAAGAGCAGTGTGGAGTAAGGCAAAGACATTGATTCCACCCTGAGGTCACTCGAGTCCTTGGGCTGAGCAGTATTGGTAGCATTTATCAAGGACATTCACCAAGAACTTCTAGGAATCAAAACCTGTTCTCACTCAGTGTTCACAAAGGGACAAAGTAAGGCTTAGGAGGTGGAGTCACTTGTACTGGAGTCCTTGCACTATGGAGCCAGGATCTGATTCGGGCCGTCCCATCCCAGAGTCCCCCTCCCAGCACACCAGGAATCCTATGCCAAATGCAAGGTCCAATGAATACCTTCTCTGACTTCTTCAAACAGTGTCATTTTCCCCAAAGCACTGGACTGCATGAGAGAAGTATTCTTTCCATGTCTAGAGAACAAGAAAATGGCACGCCCAGGGAGGTGCTAGGATGGCAGGATTACTCCAAGAATGTGGCCCCCAGAATGGCAAGGTGTACAGAGTGGCCTCATCCAACCTTCTGAACTGGCAGGTAGAAGTTCTCTCGGTGAGGACGGACACACTCTGTGGCACCCTGGAGAATCTCCAAATTACACTGGCATGGCTGCTGCTGGGAGACACCACCTGTAGCTGCCCACCTACACCCCATCCAAGGTGACGGTCCCAGAGCCCTAGCTGCCCCTCTCCTTCCTCAAGACCCCAAATATCACCTTCTCCCAGTTCAAGAATATTGCCATTAACACACGGGAAATTGTTCTGTAGATGTTACAAGTCCCTCAGAGACTGTCTTAAAATCCTGACCCCATCCCCATGAAGGTGTTCTGAGAGTGATGTCATAGATTTGGCCTGTCAGGGCCCAGCGCAATGGCACAGTGATTAAGGTCCTCGCCTTGCACGCCCGGGATCCCATATGGGCGCCGGTTCTAATCCCAGCGGCCCCGCTTCCCATCCAGCTCCCTGCCTGTGGCCCAGGAAAGCAGTCGAGGACGGCCCAAAGCTTTGGGACCCTGTACCCACGTGGGAGACCCGGAAGAGGCTCCTGGCTTCGGATCAGCATAGCATTGGCCGTTGCCCTCACTTGGGGAGTGAATCATCGGACGGAAGATCTTCCTCTCTGTCTCTCCTCTCTGTATATCCGCCTTTCCAATAAAAAATAAAAATAAAATAAAAAATAAATCTTTCAAAAAATTTTTTTAAAAAAGAATTGGCCTGCCAACCAAAGGGAGGTATGAGCAAATAGGAAAAAGAGACAGAGGTAAGGGAGTCACCAAGGCCTTAGGCCTCAAACAATATAGACTTTGTTCTCATGTTTTCAGTCTCACTGAGATGCTCTGCATTTTGAAAAAGGATCGATCTAGTTGAGAGGCAGAATTACTGAGAAAAAATATAGAGAGGGGAGAACTTCATCACTAACTCACTCTCCCAAATGGCTGCCATGGGCAAGGCTGGGCTAGCCCAAAGCCAGGAGGCAGGAGCTACCTTTGGGTATCCCATGTGGGTACAGGTGTCCAAACACGTGAGGCATCCTCCACTGCTTCCCCAGGTGCGTTCACAGGGAGCTGGATCAGAAATGCAGCAGCAGGGACACAAGCCGGCATCCACATGGAATGCTGGCACTGGACACTGTGGCTTTACCCACTGTGCCTCAGTTCCAGCCCTGGTGTATTTTCTGTCCATGGAGTCTGAAATCCCAAATCATCCCCTCTTATCCATGTGAGCTAAAATGGGTTTCCATTCCATTTCATCCTCTAACTTTTGACATATAGAAGTTGGGCCTTTGCCAAAGCACCTCATGAAACCCCTCCGAAGTACACAGTTCTTATTTCCTGGGTGTGGTGCCATCAGCCTGGATGAAGATTTTTCCTGTTCTGATGACCTTTTGATGCCACTCTCATGCTTTTTGAACTCCAGGCACCTGTTTTCTCAGTTCTGCACTTCCCCAGAGAGGAACAGAAAATGTAACAATCAGGTCAGTGCTGTGGCATAGGGCGCTAAACTTCAGCCTGTGTTACTGACATCCCATGTGGGCTTAGGTTCTAGTCCCAGTTCCTCCACTTCTGATCCAACTCGCTGCTAATGCACCTGGGAAAGCAATAAAAGATGACCCAAATGCTTAGGTCCCTGCACCCACATAGGAGACCCAGAAGAAACTCCTGGCTCCTGGTTTCAGATCAGCTCAGCTATGGCTGTTGCAGCCATTGGGGAGATGGAGTAAATTATCACGTGTGGTTTTACTCATGTACCAAAGGAGTAGGAAGGCCGGGTGGTGCTGGAAGAGGATGGTGTGAAAGGAGATCAGAGAGGCCTGGCTTAGTCAGAGGAGGCATCACAGAGGAGGTGAGCCCTACACTGAGGACTTTCACGGAGGAAAACTAGAGCAAACAGGATCAGCAGGAAGAGTGGAGTGGAGAGGAGGTGTGCAGACCCCCTGGAGAGGAAACAAGAGCCAGGGCAGAACAGGGTGGACTGTAAGGAGGGACTTGGTTAGGGCGCTCATGACACCAAAGTCTGGGCTGGATCTGAAGGGCTTCAGATCATACTCAGGATTAAACTTTACCTTTCAGCCAATAAGTTGCCTCAAGGAGGAGGTTAAGCGTGGACACGGTGCCGCAGTGATGGTAATGGCTCTGCCAGCAGAGCTGTCCAGGTACCTAACACCACAGGTAGCAGCGGCTCCCAGCCCCACACTTGTCATCAGGTGCCTGAGAATGGCTCCCCATGGGTCAGCCCAGCCTGAGACCCCCCGACGACCAGGAGCTTGCAGGGGGGACCTCGGAGGGAGGGGAGAATTGGGCTCTCAGAGTAGGGGTGCCTTCCCGGTGAGGCATACTCACCGTGAATCCAGCAGCCGGAGCGGTCAGCATCAACAGAGAATTCTGTATGCTTCACAGCTGCTGGTGGAGGGCAGCTCGGAGGAGCAGAAGCTTCCACAAGGAACCCCAGCAGCCTCTCCCACAGAACAGATCCCCGCCCCTTGTCTTTGGGTCTGTTGCCTGCGGAGGACTTAGCCTGAGAGGTGAGAAATCAGTCGGGTCCCAGAGGCTCTGTCCTCCCAGACAGGAAGGAAGGGAAGGGAAGCGCAGTGTTTGTTTAGTGCCAGGGACTGACATCTAGAATAAGCACTTACTAAATATTAGCTGTGATAGTTGGCCATCTGGAGACCGCTCCCAGAGGTGACAGGGAGCAGCGGGTGAGGCAGAAACCCCTGGGCTCTGTCCTGTCCTGCAGAAGACCAAAAAGAGACCTTTTTACCTGGGAGTCACTTCCCAGGCAGGTAACTTTGTGAGTCTGGACCTGCCTCTTTTGCATATCAAGAGAAATTGCCCAGCTTTTGTACCCATTTTTTAAAATCATTATTCTGACCACAGTTTGGATCCACAGACATTTCGCAGGACTCCCGAGATTCCTGACAGTGGTAGAGGTACCAGCCTGCTTTCCCAGAAGGCTGTGCTTATCCAAAACACCCACAGTGAAGACATCTTCAAAATCTGGGCGCACTCACCTCCCGCTGCGTACAAGAGCATGAGACACCATGCTGCTGGGGAGAGGCCCAGGGGAAAGCTGCCAAGCCCAGAACACCAACACTCAAGAGGAAAGTCTCGCTGGGAAGGTGAGAACAGTGGTGAGAAATCTCTCATACTTTAGCTGAAAAGCACCTGTGACTCTAACACATCACAGTGACAGCAATGCTGGTGTGGACAAAGGGGACACCATTTAATGACGCATTCCACCGTCCTCTCAGAGAGACCACCAGCGAGTTCTTGGAAAATATATCATTAAAAAAATGTACACACGGATTCCACCACTTTTTTTTTTCACATCAAGGTGGATTCATCTTTTCATTCCATTTCCCATGAATTTTCTGAAGTTAATACATAAGTTTGCATATATTAATATAAAGATGAATTAAAAATAAAGCATAGGGGTTGTCCAGGATTTCAGGAAAAAAGTGCTCAATACTAACTCTAGTGATGTCAGAGATAATACATAACATATTTCATGATTCTTACTAGAAATCTACAGAATGTCTAAGCAATGACAGGGTATGGGCTAAAAATATAAAACTGACATTTGGTTCCCTCGGGTGGAGTTCTCTGCATTGCCACATGACTAACCAAGTCCCACAGCAACACACTCAGTTTTAATCAGGTTTTATTCAGTCAGCTGGTGAATTCCGACTGCTGGGTGCCCTGGTGTGGATTTCAGTGCTGGGATACCCCAGCAATTGGTATTTGCCAAATCCCTATCTTGAATCTTGTAAGTTACCCGGCAGGCAATACACGTACATCCTTCCTCTCTCGCCAGATGTCAAAGGTCAATGCGTCATCAATAAACCACGGAGAGCAGAGGCCTGTGTGCCGCTCAGTGCACCATGCAGTGCCAGCAGGATTTCCCAGAACCATAGAGGACTTTCTTGGGTCTGCTGGTTTGTCTCTGCATTTGCTTCTGAAATATGTAGGAGTCATTTTAGAGTCCCTGCTTCCCTTTCCATCACACCATTGGTTGTCCAAGCCATTCACTGCCTCGAACTCAGATTCACAAAAAGTGAGACCATGAAATACTTGGGTATAGCAAGCTACCAAAAACTCCAATTCTTATTACTGCCTCTGGTTTATATTATTGCTTGTGTTACGTAACATGAGTACCTACCTTTAGCTTCAGATTTTCAGCCTGCCCTGATTTTTAAATGTCCTTGACACTGAGCCTGTGTCTCTTTGTTCAGGTCACCGTTAAAACACTGAATGTTACGTCTGAATGGTCCAGAAGCAGAGACCATGTAAGGCCATTTGCTGTTACACAGTGGTAATCTGTTAATTCCCAGTGGGCCCCCAGGAATGTGTGCCATGGTCAGAAAGCAAGCACAGCCACCAGAGAGCATGACTTGCTGTGGGGAGGAGTGTGGTCCACCCGGGAACAGAGTGGGCCAAAGGGGAGTAGCGACTGGGTCTGTAAGAGGCCTCATAATCCAAGAAGCATGTTCTGCTCGTAGGACATCCTTTTGTAGGAAACAACACACCGGATCCTGAGCAGATCACTTCCTGGTGAGATTAAGATGCCTGTTTACTGATCCTAACCCCAGAAACGTAATGTGCCAAGACCACACATTGTGAGATTTAACAAATACTGAAGGTGCTGGGGAAAAAAAACATGAAAAGAGAAGGATGGTGTTCTCTTAAGAAGCCATGGAAAGGAAAGAGCAAGAACTCATCCATTCATCCCTAACAACGAAGTACAGAAAGCCCTGATTACATGGTATCCCAATCCACCTGACCATGAGCAGAGAGGTTGTGCTGAGGTTGCCACAGTATTATGTTGCTCAGTGGGCACCTACCATGAGCCAGGCACTAGCAAAGCACCCCCAGTTAAAGGGGGAGATGGGACAGAAGCCTTGCCTTCTAGACGCACAGTTTTCAAAGGAAGACAGACATGGACACAAATGGCCTCAACACTGTGAGTTAAAGGCTTTACCAAAGAAGCTATCAAAACTCAGAAGGAATACAGTCTTCCTGGAATGTTATGGAAGACCCTCTCCAGGACATTGTCTCTAGCCAGACTTCCATCCATTCATTCAGCGTGTATGTTTTTATTACACCTGATTGCTCAGATGCCATGGACAAGGCCATTCTGGGGGAGGCTGGAATGTGGAGCACATTACCAAGAGAAACCCAGGATGGCTCCTTAGGACCACGCAGTCCTGCTGAGACCAGAATGCCTTGGTGGCTCAACCTGCAATGTTTTTGTCTTCTTTTGCTACCCAGAGATCACCTCATGACACCAAAATGCCAATTTATGGTTCATCATCACAGCACAGTGACTTCCTGACAGGATCAGACAAAAATCAGGTTTCTGGAGAGTCCATATCAAGCAGAAACCCAAGTTAAGAATCTGGAGGCCAACCTGACATGAGACATCCTTACCTTGCTCTACCAGTGGGGTCTTCAATGCAGGCACAACAATGAGCTCTCCTGTCCAGCAAAAAGATGATGCAAGAACAGCTGGAGTCTCTTTGAGGGCCCTGGGAGGAACTTCCAATCCTAGCCTCTGATAGCCGGGAGTCACGCTGCACCCAGACACAGAGCCTTTAGACCCAGGGTCCCTGCTGCAGCCCCTGCCACAGGGGTCTCTTTGTGCTTCAGGCGGTGGAGAGCTGCCAAGGGGTGGAGAGAGCTGAGGACTCTTCTGGCAATCACTTCCTGAAAGAACACTCAGCTTCTTGGAAGAAGGAAGTAGAGGTTCCCCTGCACAGAGGCACACTCTTGGGTATTGGGGGTCACTTCTCTGTGTTGAAAGATGCAACAGGACAGGAAGCTGAAAGGTCATCATCACCCTGGAACGGGAAGACTTCATAATTATTGTGGGAAAACAAATAGAATTAAAACATGACGCAAACTGCCCAGCACATTTTGAAATCTCCTGCAAGGGCAAAATGAAAACACTGGAATTGAGGCTGGAGGGAGGAGTGTCAGGTCGGCCAACCTGTGTAGATTCAAATGACACCTGCAAGAACAGTCGCACTCAGCAGAGAAGAGGCCAGGCGAGGCAAAGCCAGGTAAAAGTTTCCATAAGGGGTAGTCATTTTCATGCTAGAAATTAGTATTTCCTGTTTGCTAACCTATCTGCTAATTACATCAACTTTTCCTTGTATCACCTTCACTTGTCTTTGAAGTTCTTCAGCTAACATAAAGGTACTTGAACATGGAATTTAAAAATGTTTCTTTAAAAATATTTTTTATTTATTTGAGAAACAGAGAAAGAGTTCACACACACAGGTCCACCTTCCAAATGCTGGCGATGCCTTCCAGGCTAGGCTACGGCCAATGCTGGGATCTAAAAATTCAACCACGGTCTCTCTCATGAGTGGTGGGAACCCAACTCTGAGCTGTCACTGTGGCCTAACAGGATCTGCACGAGCAGGAAGTTGGAACCAGGAATGAGCAGGAAGTTGGAACCAGGAGCTGGCGCTCAACAGCAAACCCAAAACTCTTTATTTTATTAAATTTATTTATTTATTGTTGTTGGAAAGTTTTACATAGAGAAGAAAAGATAAAGAAAGTTAGCCATCTGCTGGTCCACTCCCCAAGTGGCTGCGATGGCCAGAGCTGAGCTGATCTGAAGCCAGGAGCTTCTTCCGGGTCTCCCATGTGGATGCAGGGTTCCAAGGCTTCGGGCTATCCTCTATTGCCTTCCTAGGCCACAGACAGGGAGCTGGATGGGAAGTAGAGTAGCTAGCTGCTGAGTCAACATGCCAGGCCTACACCCAGGACTCATATGGGACATGGGCATCTTAACCAGTAGATCATCCCCAAGGTAAATTAAATTTGGTGGAAAAAAGTTACAAATCCATGCACAATTCCTTTATACACATTTTCCATGAAATCTCTGAAAGCCTCTACTATATGTTTGTCATTCAGATCACAAAGTACAGGGGCCAGTGCCTGACTCAACAGGCTAATCCTCCACCTTCAAGCACCAGGATCTCATATGGGCACTGGCTTATGTCCCAGGTGCTTCACTTTCCATCCAGCTCCCTGCTTGTGGCCTAGGAGGACAGCAGAGGATGGCCCAAGTCCTTGGGTTTCTGAACCCATGTGGGAGACCTCGAGGAAACTCCTAACTCCCAACTTTAGTGCCTGGGTTCTGATTTCTCTAAGTCAAATCCCATTCATAACCTGCTCTTGAAACTGTTGTGGTTTTAGGGACCAGCCCTCAGCCAGACCTAAGCCAATCAAGCCATGGTTTTCTCCAGGAAAGTACATGACCAGGATGGGCCAATCAGAGGAAGGGAGGGTAGATGTGGGGTTTATCTTATAGGCTATGTGAGCCAAGTACCTAACCCAGCTGGTTCCTGTAAACACATGCACTTCAAAAGGCAAAAAAGATAGAAAGACATTGAAGGATTAAAGACCTTTAAGAAGAAAAGAAGTCTATATTGGGTTTTATAAGCTATTAATTTAACCTAACATCAAGACCTGTCTTACTTCTGGAGTTTCTAGTTGTATAGACTGAGTTATTTGTTGATGCAAATTTAAATTGAACCTGTTAGCATTAAACCTCAGTACATCCTAAGTTACTGTTATAAAGTGGTGGCCCCACTGCAACTTTCTCTTCCTGTCACCGTCCCCCAACAAACAGTCCTCAGCCTAAGAAAAGGTGAAGCACATAGAAATGTGTTTATGCTCACTAACCTGGGAATTGAGATGATACAGCAAGGGGCAAGTGAACATTTTTTAAGATTTGTTTTTATTTTTATTAGAAAGCCATTTTTACAGACAAAACGAGAGACAGAGAGAAAGATCTTCCATCTACTGGCTCACTCCCCAAGTGGCCACAACAGCTGGACAAAAGCCAATCTGAAGCCAGGAGTCAGGAGTTTCTTCTGGGTCTTCCATGTGAATACAGGGTCTCAAGGCTTTGAGCCATCCTTGACTGCTTTCCCAGCCCACAAGCAGGAAGCTGGAAGGGACATGGAGCAGCTAGGACATGAACCAGTGCCCATATGGGATCCTGGCACATGCAAGGTGAGGGTTTAGCCACTGAGCCATCATGCCAGGCCCATGAATAATGAAGAATGTTTAATAGTAATTTATTTTAAAAGTTGTTGATGGTAAGTTAAAAAAAAAAACTTATGGCTCAATAACTCTCTTTATCCCAGTGTAATTTTACTGTCATAACAGCCTGAAAAACTGAAACTCCAGAAACAAACATGAAAACAATGGTTGGCAGGACTAGGGTTTGGGGATGGGCCATCAGGCACCTTCTGGATCTGCCGTGGTTCTGGCAGTGGTGGAGGTGACCACACCACCAGCCACAATCTGTCAAAATGCAGAAAACTGCATGTGCTGAAGGGTTGTGGTTTTGTTTTTGGGGGTTTTTTCAGATTTATTTATTTTTATAGGAAAGGCGGATATACAGAGAGAAGGAGAGACAGAGAGAAGATCTTCCATCTGATGGTTCACACCCCAAGTGACCACAACAGCTGGAACTGAGCCAATCAGAAGCCAAGAGCCAGCAGCTCTTCTGGCTGCAGGGACCCAAAGCTTTGAGCCAACCACGACTGAAGGGTTGCGTTTTTAACAGCATGTAAATCAGACCTCAATAAATACAATTTTAAAGACATGAACAAGATTATTCATCTATTCCCTTTTAACACACACAGAGTAGGGACCTGAATTATGGTGCAACTGATTGAGCCACTGCCTATGACGCAAGCATTCCATACAGTACTATTTCAGGTCCTGGCTTTTCCACTTCTGATCCAGCTCCTCTGAAGTACCTGAGAAGGCCCAGAAGAGAGCCCAGGTTCTTGGGTCTCTATCATCCGTGTGTGAGAGCAGAATGTAACTCCAGGCTCCTGTTTTCAGCTTAACCCAGGCAACTGTTTGGGGAGTGAACCAGTGGATGAAAAAAAAATCTCTCTCTTTCTTCCTCTCTCCCTCTATCTCTCTCAATCTGCCTTTCAAGCAGATAAATAAATCTTTTTAAAAAAACCACCAAAAATTATTAACAGAAATTGGGAATAATTCCATAAAAGGGAAGGAAATCCAGGTATACTTACTTCTTCAGAAACTGAACTTCTTTCACTTTCCCCAAACACAGTGAAGCTCAGACAGACACCCACACAGCACAGCTTTGCCAACATCAACATGTTGGCTGCTTGCCTTTCTGGGAGCCTGTCTGAGAGGGTCTCCCCAAGACATGAGCCTCACTGAGAGGGTCTCCCCTGCTGTAGTCATGTAGTTCCTAAAGCTGGCAGCCCCACAGCGGGGGGAAAGAAGTCTCCCCCTTGGTGCTTGCACCTCCTGTCTTCAGTAGTGGCTGTGGGAAGTTGTGATTGAAGCAGAGGAGATAAAAATGGATCCAATCTGCTGCTCCCAGAAGTGCGAGCGGCAGGCTTTGTGCCTGTCCCAACTCCCCCAGAGCCCTTTCCACTCCCCTAATCATGCACTGTCCCTCACCGCGATCAGCATCTGCTCATCTCTGGAACAGGGATACAGGCGATGTAGTCCATTCCCTGCTGCACCTGGTAAACCAGCTGCTCTGTCAAGAATGCACTCCATGCTGGGGAAGCCTTTAGCCAATGCTTGGCAATACAGGCCTGTAAGCACCTTGGCTCCTATTGACAACAGTTCCTAAGTGTAGCTTATTCTGAGGCTTCTCACCCATCAATGCTCCAATGGACTGGCTGGGGTCAAATTCAAATGCATTCTGATGCATCAGGTCTGAGGGTCTCTGACCCTAATGAGCTGCCAGGTGAAGCCCATGCTGCCCATCTGGCAATCCCACTTTGAAGAGTTAGGAGTCAGTTTTCCTCCCAGAGCGCCTGCAGGATCCAGCCCAAGACAACAGATTCCTCCACCTCCTTGTCTCCCAAACCAGGAGTAAATGACCCAAGAAGAGTAGGGGCAAGATGTGGTTTAGTAGGCAGGCTACCTCAGGACTCCTGTTTCCAGGAATCCTGCGTCCCCCTCACACTTAAGTTCTAACCCCTGAGATGACGGTGTAGGAGGCAGTTTGGGAGGTAATTAGTCACAAGAGTGGAGCCCTCAGGAAAGGGGCAGGTACTCTCATGAAAGAGGCCCAAGAGAGCTCCACTGTCCCTTCCATCATGAGAGGTTAGAGCAAGAAGTCAGCTGTCAGTGAGGAAAACGCCTTCACCAGACACTGGGTGTCCTAGTGTCTTGAACTTGCACATTGATCTTGAGACTGCCAGCATCAGAGCCTTCTAAAAAATGATTTATCGAAAAGAGTTACAGAGAGAGAGAGATCTTGCACCCACTAGCTCATTTCCCCAAAGGTCTCAACAACCAGTGTTGGGCCAGGCTAAAGCTAGGTGCTTCTTTCAGGTCTCCCACATGGGTATCAGGGCCTCAAGTCCTTTAGCCATCTTCAATTGCTCTCCCAGGTGCACAGCAGGGATCTAGTCGGAAGTGAAGCAGCCAAGCAGAGGAAGGTAAACATCAAGACCTGCAGCTTTCAGAGGATCTTCCTGTGTCCCCAGTTCTCCCTCACTAAGAAATCTGGCCCCCT